TTTCTTCTTGTTTATCCTTTCCTTCTTGCTCTACTAAATTAAACTTCTACATTCCTCTGTTATCCTTCTTTTCCCCCAAAACTATATTTTTCTTTCGTTTTACATTTTATCATGATAGTTTATTTTATTTTTCTTCTACTTAACCAAAGCGTAGTTACTCTTTCTTTTCTTGCTTGTCCTACATTGTATCTTTTCCTTCATTATCGTACCATTTTTTAAAGTAAATCTTATTTGCTTTTTCTTCTTGTTATTCTTTATTTCCGTTCTACTAAATTGAACTTCTAAATCCTTCGCCTCTTGTCTTGTTCTTTTTTATTGTTTCCACCAAAACAATATTTTTGTTTATTCTTATGTTTTATCATCATATTTTATTTTATTTTCAACCAAACGATATGTTCTCTTTTTTCTCGCTTGTCCATTTCCATCACAATCATCTCTATATTTCCTTCATTATTTTATCATGTTTTCTTGTTAATCTTTTCTTTTTGTTTATTTTTTTCTTCTCGTTCCTTCGAAATGAATTTCTTCATTCCGCGACCTACTTCTTATTATTCTTTTCCACCAAAACCATATTTTTCTTTCTCTTCGTACAACTTTCATGCAAAAACGTGTATTCCCATTCTCCCTTTTCTCTACCCTCTCACCAACCCTTTCACCCTTTCCAGTTTTAAACTCACCAGTTTCCACCGTCACACCTTAGTCCGTCTGTCATAAAGTCACTGTCTCATGTAGCGTTTTCATAACTATTGCAACAAAAATAATTCTGTTATGCAAGATAAGTTTTCATTTATCAAAAGACTCAGTGGAAAAAGCATAATTCGAAAAATCCTATTCTGTTGGGACACAGTTCATGGATTTGTTGACGTTATCCTTTGAAAAGTTGTTATTAGGTACTGGGAAACCGGCTTCCAACAAGATATACTCTTTGCTCTCATTACATTAAGAAATATTATTGTGATTTCTAAGACATACGTGTGTTTAACCAACTTTTCTAATGATGTTATGCTTTCAATATATGCTAAAATTGATTTCTACGCTAAATTAATAGTAAATAGTATGATAGTATTGATAAAGTCTGCGTTTTTTCTTTTTCTTCTGGTTCATAATGGAAAACGATAACGTTCCATCGGACCTTTGTATAAAAATTGCCTTCGGGTTCAAGGAGGGCATTAATCGAGAGGGAAATTAATTTGGCCACAAAGCTTTCATTATACTTTCCCGGCTATGATTGCCAAATGCTCCAATTTATGAGAGACCCGACGACAAAAGGGGCGGTATTTACATTGAATATAATCGGCCATGGGAGATAGGGTTTATCGAAGGGCCATTGTTCCGGGCCACCGGCTTGAAACTTTCCGCTGAAATCCAACCTTTCGGGAAGAGTTTAAAAAAACGCATCGTTTTGGTCCTCCGGGACGGATTTTAGAACATGCAATATCCTCTGGACCGCCTAAGCATTTCCCAACGGTTGGAAATTAAAGGATACATCCTTTTTATGTTGCATTTGCTAAATCTTTCAGATAATTTGATTTCTTCAATTGAATCTCCAATTCATTTTTCCTAATTACATTGAACATTGAAAAAAATTATTATCCACATTTACCATGCCAAAGACATAAATTATCAAATATATTATAAAAGATATTCGTTAATATTGAAAAATACAAGATATTGAAAAATATTTTTTCAAAATTTCAACTACAAATTAACATTTAAGCAAAAAATTAGTAAATTAGCCCTGAAAAGACATTTAAAGCAGAGTTTAGTCCTGCGGGATGGATTTGGGAAATAGCAATATTCTTTGTACCAGTAAACAAGGGTTAAATTGAAAAAATCATTACCTAAATTTTTTCTTCAATTCCGATTACAGAGTCGCATCACTGTCTTCACTATTAAGGAAGTTCATAGCAACGTTTAGTCCTCCGGGCCGTATCCTCAAAAGTGCAATATTATTTAGACCAGGGATCAAAGTAATAGGCCAACTCATTCAATTGATTGGGTATATTATTAGATTATTTTATACTTAATCTTTCGGATAACCCGCTTCACGTCTCGTCATTATTCTTTCCTTATTAGATAGGGGAAAACTGTAATAATCATTACAGACCATTTGGATTCAATTCCTACTGCAGGATCGTATAAATGGTATCACTATTTACAGAAGTTCATAGTAGTGTTTGGTCCTCCGGGACGGACTTTGGAACGGCTATATTCTTTCGACCAGGGGATTAAAGAAATATTCCAACTCGTTCATTTGAATGGATTGAGCTTAGCTCTTTTTTATACTTTATTTGCTTAATCTTTCGATAATCCGCGTCATATCTCGTAATTATTTTTTTCCTATTTACATAATATTACCTAAAAGTTTCATTCAATTTCGATCATAGATTTGTATCACTGGCTTCACTATTAAGAAGTTAATAGCAGCGTTTAGTCTTCCGGGATGGAATGGACCTGAGGACCAAGGCGTTTGCCAACTCGGCAAATTAATTGAATTTTACAGCTTAGTTCCTTTGTATGCTTTATTTTCCTTAATTGATCCGGATAATCCGCGTCATATGTCGCCATTATGCTTGTGTCTTAATTATACATGGATATAATAACTAACTGATGTAATGATTGTCATTACCTCAAATTCAACAGCTAGGTAAAGTTCATACAGATGGCTTCCCTATAGGGAGGCTCATAGCAGCGTTTGGTCCTCCGGGACGGATTTGAGAAGATTCGAATTTTTGTTGGTGTTTACTTAATCTTTCTGATAATCCGGGTCATTCTCTTTTCTTAATTATATATTTCACAAGGGAGATCCTATTACACTTACTAATTATATGGATATTATTTTATAAATTGAAAAAAATTACATCAACAGTCTAGGGGAAAAACGACAAAATTTAAGTGTACAGTTTAAGTTTTTAAAATAAACCGAAGCACGGATTATTACATTACGAGTCTTTTACAAATTATTAGGAGTTGGCGAGTAGGACTGAAAATTTCTACAAAATTTCCTGCTGTTCTTATTGAAAATTCATACTGTGGCTTCTCTTATAAGAGTAATTCAAAGCCTTCTCTCTTACAAAAAGGCAGAAATGGAATTATTTGGAAATATGGACTTTGGGTTTTGGAGTACTGCACCATTGGTAATTGGTCCCAAAATTTTTAAAACTTTAGGCTGTTTGTTTAAAGGGATATTTTAACTTCAGTGGGTTTTTTCTTAATAATGAAAGCGCTAATTTCTCTCTCTTTTTTTTCAAACTCTGAATACTGGCATAACTTAATATTATTTCAATTTTGCGGCGTTTGAGCTTAAACACACAGTTTCGCAAGTATTTTCCATAACAGCTCACCCCATTGGTTTTTGGGACCGACCAGAATTGGCTAATAATCGCCTTATCGCGTTATCAAATTTCTTGTAGTCTGAATTTTTTTTCTTTTGTGAACGGCTTTATCAACGGACAACAAGGGCTTTCGAGTGTTTGCCCATCCGGAGTTCGTTGATCCTTAACCTTGTCCTTCGATTAAACATTCAAGTTGTGCCAAATGTTTTTATTCATCCATTTTTTCAAAACAAATTTATCGATTGGACTTTCTAACCTAGTCGGAAAACAAGTTCCAATGTCAATTTATTGCATCGAACACTTTCAAATAGCCTAATTCTTAATCCGTTAAAATGTAAATTTTCTTAATTAACCCAGTATCCCGGACCTACTGACACCCTGATTAGTGAAAACTTCAACACCTCCCCCTTTGACGCTAAAAATGCGTCTCATGTATCATGAGCTCTGTTGCTTTCGCATGATCAGTATCGATGAAGGATCGTAATAGCCCGACTAAGAATAGGCCAGGAGGTTGATCCGCGGTGTTTTTTGTGCCACAGCCCGAGAATCTGGGGGAGAAAGGTTGTTCGATTTCACATAAATGAAGGGAGTCATTTCTTGGCTCCTTATAGAGAACGAGTAGGAATGCCGTCAGATATGAACATTGTTCTTGACCACGGCAGAGAGTATTTGGGTCAAATTTTCGCAGGATACAGCTGTTTTATTGTATATTTTTCTTTATAGATATCTTATTTTTTGTGCTAATTGAGAGTGAATGTAATTATTAGTGTGAATGTGTTAAGAATACTACAAAAATTTAGCGATTTATGCGATTAATTAATCTAATAATGTAAATCATTCTCACGGTTTGACATATGTGTTTATATTTGCGTGTATTTGTAGATTTGACCTTACAGTACAATACAAATGAAAATATACAAGATATGTACCTGCAATAATATATTTAAATAAATTGTATGAATTCATTCAGTTTTCCTGTCACTGCCTCCACCCTGGATTTTCCAGGGACAAATGGGGACCCTAGGAGAGGGAAAAAAGCAATTGAACAACCCGCGGTTATTCAATCCAGTGTCAATTAATGAGACCTAATGACGATTTATCGCTGATTAATTGCTCAGCTTGAAATTGTCATGTAAATATAAACCGTGTTTAACTCCGCATGAGATTTGAATTTAAAAAATTTAAAACAATATGTGAAGTAGATGAAAATTTGTGATCTAAGCTCACGGATGGCACTAGAGGTGCGATAAAAAAGCGTTTTTGGAGGGCCATTTTGGTAATCTCCAAAAAGAACAAAACTTCGGGTACCTAATTTAAAAAAAATTATCTTTTTGTTACCAATATCACAACCTCAATTTTAGTAACTTAAGAGACCCCAGAGGAGAAATATTTCATTCAGGCGTGGCTGGAGAAAGTAACTTTTTTCCGATAATCTCGGCCATATCGCGAAGAGGGATAGGAAAGGATTTTCCAGTTGATGGCAAACAGTTGTTGTTTACACGGCGGCTTACAAGGCCGTTAATCGGATAGGACTTCCGGGCCTTTTATCAGGCAATTATTTATCCCTTTTTATCTCCCGGTTTGCAGAGTGATTAACGGACAAGGGGGGGATTTCAACCCCCGTCTGAAGGGGGGAATGATCAAGCAAAATATGAATCTTCTTACCTGGGCGTCTCATCTGCTGACCGTCAACACCGACGAAATGGTTCTCTCCTGGAAAAAAAGAATATAAAATTAGACAAATTGTTTAAACAAATTTGTCAGCCTTTCTCGCTGGTTTTCATCCTCATGTTTATCATTTCGACCAACGTCGGATCGATAAAAACCGGAGGTTACGGGCGGATTCAGAGAAGCGTTTAAATTATGCTTTTATTTGGGCCAAGTAAACATGACATGATCGTTTCTTATTCAAATCCATGGGACATCAAAGAAAGGATTTTTGACGTAATCCTATCGATCATGGGTGCAATTTTTGTCCTTGGTGATTTTCTTATCTTGTGGATCAAACAAGTTTAACCAAAGATCCACCACCTGAACAGTCAAAACCTGTCAAATAATAAGGTTTTTATGAACATAAGAAAAATTGATCTGTGAGACACCTTTATATTACAAACATAATCGCTTGGTCCGCTTGGTTATCTGAGGTTGATCATGTCTTTTTTCCTGACATTTGGCTGATTTTGTACCCCGTGATTGCAGTGGTTGATAAAACTATGAACTAGTTAATTTGGAGGAGCATTAGATGTGTAATAGTTAAGTAACTTGTACTTTCATACTATTTTTCCCTGCGGTTCGCAACAGCAGAAGACATCAAATTTTGCCCTCTTCTGACTTTGTTTCGAAATTTCCACCAATTCTTACTTTGATTCCGTTTAAATATTACAAGTTTAATCCGAAGAAAGGGTAGAATTTCTTCGGATCGTACTCCCCAGGATTTGCAGCCGCCCACAGAATTAATAAAGGAAATCCATTCAAGGTCTATAGGTCTTTTCGATATCCCCGGTTTTGAAATCCTTTCCCATGGGGCTATGGGAGAAACGTTTAAGGACGGAAGTGCGTACTTACAGCCGACTCTCTCTCCGACCTGAAAGGAAAGTGCGGAGTGTGATGAAAGTAAGCTGAGGAAGCAGGAGGATGGCAGGTAGTGGCAATTGTGACCCAGTTAGGCCCTCGCCGTGTAATAGAGCCATGCTCTCATTAGATCACGTCAATTGTGTTTTCTCCCCCACTCGAATTCACCCCCCTCGCCAGTTTCACCTCTTTAACCGTCATAATCTGCAGCAAAACCGTTTATTATACGCTTTTCAACATATCCAGGCTCTTAACGTGTTGAATGCCGACGAGGAGGAAGTTGCGCGATCTATCCCTCCCTTTCCGGCAAAGCTCGGGGCTTAATTTTGGTTAATTTCTTTTTTCCGTCGATCGACTATTACAGTTGTTTAGAAAGTGTTTGACTTCAATAAAGACAGTTAGTTGTCGCTTGGTCAGAATCTCATTTGCCTGAGCTTACCCATCACGAGGAAACATACACATAGATTAAAAGAAAATGTGCTACACACACAAGCAACAACCAATATTTCATTTTCAATTTCAACTAAGGATAAATAGATAGATTGAGTGAGAAAAAGATAAGAATATAGAGAATGATACGAGTAGATAAAATGATATAAAATAGATCGGGTAGATACACAGTTAAAAATGGAAACAACACTGGAACATAGAAAAAGAGGCAGGCATAAAAATTATCCAAATTTATTTAACCTCTTATTTCTATACTACTACACATGTATGATTGCGTACTTTTTTCTTTTTGGTTTCAAAAAACAAAACAAGCTGATAATGAATAGAAACCGTGGATTAAAAAACATCCAGTAACTTGCTCATTTCTTTAGAAAACACAATATTAACAGCAATAGTTTTAGCATATTCAACATATTTAAACATTGTATATTTGGTGAAATGTTGCATTGATGTGAAAATATAGAAAATTTATAAGCGGTTTGTAAATAATTGACCGAATGACCTCGTGACCTACTGGTTCAAGTTGCAGAACTTGCACATTGACCTATGTAAAAACATTGATTATATGACATTGATTACGTTTTTCGTTGTTCTGATTATTTCACGATCTGTCTGGAGTCAGAACTTGAAACAGAAGTGAACTTTGGCCAAAAAATCGTAAAACTAACTCGATTCGGAATTGTTAACATTTGAACATGTCTAGCCATTCTGCAACATGAGTTATTTGATATTGTGAAGTTTCTTTTGTTCTTTGTTTTTGATTTGGTCAAGTGTTTGATCATCTGTCAGAAGGTAATTTCTCACTGGCATGCCTGGCAAAAATAGAAAACGAGAATAGGCGGACCAGGATAAGAAGAATCATAAGTAAAGGCGGAAAACCCATTATGTTTTGTTTCAAGAAACCTTTGATAAACAAAAATCTCATATTTAATTGAAAACATATTAAAAAAATTAAAACCAGTTCATTACTTAAAGAAAATAAATAAATGGTCAAAGCTATTTCCTCCTAATAGGTCAAAATTAAAACTTTTGAGTACCTGGAGCAAGAATGGCTTTGGCGAGAATAGGCGGACCAGGATAAAAAGTATCATAGGAAAAGGCAGAAAAATCCACTGTTTAATATTTCAATAAATATTTGGTAATCAAAGCAGATATTTGATTGTAAACATCGATTAACAAACTTAAAAACCTGCTACTTAAAAAAAATAATCTACTTTATTAAGTCACCTAACATACCAAATTGATTGAAATGACAACCTTTTACCTTTGACTAGCTGAAGCTAGCAAGACAAAGCGAGAACAGGAGGACCAAGGTGATCATAAAGGACAATGATCCCAAAAACCTATAATTATTTTCTTTCTGTTCCCCCCCCCAAAAAAAAAATACGAATTTGTTTCTTTTGTATCAAAAAACAAAACTAAGCTGATAACGAATGAAAACCTTGGATTTAAAAATTCAGTAACTTTAGAAAGCAAAAATTCAAATTATCTACAAAACAAATTATCTACGATATTAGTCAACTAACATACCAATTTATTCAAATTCAAACTTATCTTTCAGCACCTGGAGCAATAATGACAAAGCGAGAATAGGCGGACCAGGGTAAAGAAACCAGTTTTTTGTTTCAATAAACCTTTGGAAACAAAAAAGTGGTATTTGTTTCAAAACGTCAATTTAATATCATAGAACCTTCTCTTTACTTTGGAAAAAAACCATCTAACATCCTAAATTTATTAAAATTACAACCTTCTACCGTTGAGCGCTTGGGGCAAGATAGACAAAGCGAGAATGGGCGGACCATGATGATCATAAAGAAAAGCCATTCCTCGATCATGATGTAGGAATAAAATCTTGACAGGAAACCTGCATAACCTTTTTTCCTTTCCGGGTTCACTGGTAACTATCTCCTTTTTTCCACTTCGACCTAAAAGTATTGTCGAATTGACCCTTATTTATTTCCTTTCCCCGGATAGTGCACTTTTAAGGCGTGAGGTATACTAAAATGATCTAAATTATTTGACGCCTTTCTACCACACCAATTTTTTTCTTTCACTGTACGGATTTATTATCTTTAGCATCGTAGAATACTCGCTAATTGGTTTACAACACTTAAATAATTAATTAAATAAAATAATTGTTGACAGTTTTTTAGAATTAGGCTAGCAGGGTTGTATAACGTAACAAATAACAGGGTTTGCATTATCAAATTTGATTAGCCACATTTTGGAGTACATTTAACCTTAAATAGCGACAGATAGATTGGAAAATGGAGACATACGTACACAAATACAGAATGAAAACGGAAGGAGGTATATAGACCATAATTGATAGGTATGTTACCTATAGTTAAGTAGATAGGTAAGTTAATAGGTCAGATACATGTAGTTAGGTACAATAGGCAAAAATTGAAAGTGGTTGATTGATATCCACGTATATGGACGTACTTGGATGTACAATCGCTGACATATAAGCAGACTTGAAAGCGGACGTTTTGGACCGCCTTGCAACGCTAGGTTTCACAGATTTCACGTTGATTGAAAAGAATCATCACTTAGTATGAGGTAGTAGAGGAAATTATTTAAGTATTCTAGGGCAAGAGATGTATTACAAAAATTTGATTATCTCGATAAAAATGAGTTTGTCCTCTTTCATTACCAGTGGACGCCGAATAAATAAAAATAGAAGTTATCAGTACCAGGTTCAAGATCAGGGCATTCACAATCAACCCGGACAACGGGGCAAAACAAACAAACGGGGGTTCGAACGGCCCCTTCCGAAACCAAGGACCGACACCCGATACGACCTGTTTTCAAAGGGAAGATCACCTAAGAAACGTGTCCGGTGTGCCGACAATGCGGCCTGCGTGCAGTCTCCTTTTGTGAAGGGAGGCGACAATGGGCCGGCTATGAAACCCGCAGTTACAAGCTTCCTGGTGTGATACCTAGACGGACCTTGGGGGGAAACAGACCGGAGACTTGATGAAAAAATACGCGCTTGTTTCGACTGAACTGGATTTCGTACAGAGAAGAAAAATAAATGACACGACAATAAGCGGACCCAACGGTGTTGGGTGAATACAAAACCTGAATAGTCGAGACATCATCCCATGACGACCCAGAGATGTTCAAAAAGAAAAAATCTCAAAAATTTTTCCCCAAAACGTTTTCCCTTTCTTTTTCTGGGATTGTCAAACGTCTTGTGAAATTATTTATAAGCGAACTGCACTATTTTTCATGTAAATCTACCATATTCAACTTCCCCCTGAAGACATTTGATTTTCTGCTTTATAGCTTTTCCTCAAGAGATAACGTAAAATTTTAAATGAAAAACCAACTCGGAAAAGTACATAAAAACACTACTGTCGAATAATCTCACTGGCGATAAATACTGCGAGATGAAAACTATCTCTGGAAACTTACCCGCCGTCGGCAATTTCACATCTCTTTTGTAAAAGGAGAGCACACAATATTAAGGAAAAACAGGGTTAATAAAAATCTAATATTATAGTAAATAAAACATTTTAAAAAACCTCTATAAATTTGTACAGATGGGAGAAATTTAATTATTTATTGACCTCACATCATAAATTTATTTTCTATTACATGAATATAAATATCATAAATAAACTTTGTCGCCAAAGATGGCTAAATGCTTAAAGGCGCCTGGACAGTCAATTTTAAAGTCGATAAGT